ATGCTGAAGTTGCAAATTCCCCATAAATCAAATCATCTTGAAAAATTTCTTCACCATTTTATATCACATGGCAATTGCTAGATGTCTTGGAGCAACAGTCGATTTATCATCGAAGATTGTTAATCATTGCAATATTAGTTTACAGATGGCAGCCAACTTCGCACACAGATCCATTGTGTTAAAAACACTTTAAAGACCATTTGATAGAACTTTGCAAAGTCAAAAGTTACTTTTGAATTTCTTTTTCAATTGTTTTACCTGTTTGCACAAGATCTATACAAGTGCACACATATGTGAGGTCCACCCCCATGTGAAAGCCCCTGTACAAGCCCTGTACAAAGGGGCCTGTATAGGAGGCTTAATTCTTTCTTTTTAAAGAAAGCTGACTCAATATGAATTTCTCGAGAAACTCGTCAACAAAAAACAAAAGCATAAGCTAGCTCAAACAAGCTCTTAGTTATAAATTCAGAGACCCATAACTAAAGTTCTCTTGACGCGTAACGGTAAATTTTTTTTATCCTGTCCACTAAGAGTAGGAGATTAGGACTGTTGATGTCGATAATTTACTAAAATTTGAGCTGCAACCAACTCTTGTTATTGAAGGATAAATATCAGAAAGCACCATCTACATTATTGCACATAATATTCATTATATGTAAGTGAAATACACCGAAAACCCAAGCAAGCAAAAAACAGAAAGTTATCAGTAGTTTGCCTACAAATAACCTGATTTAATGTTTCTCCTGGGATCATGTGTTTATGGCACAAGAAAATGAGAAGTTTACAGTAAACTAAATCCCTACTTAAATTTCTGAAAATGACTTAACAGTCTTGAACCCGTGATTCCCGGGAAGAGGTCCATTTCCGGGCCGGATAGAAATTATCACGTCCAGACCTGAAATATAAGGGCAATAGATGAATTTACAGAGAATCCAGGTTAAATATGTTTCTAACTGAACAGTAGAGAACTTGTTCGCTTCTTATAACTACTATCCACCTATTATCCATACATTTCATAGGATCCTCAACTTATAATCACTTTAATTTTACTTGATCACCTCCCAAACATGCAATTAATTCATAGTTGATTTTTTTTACTCTATATTTAAAAGAGAATCAAAGGATTTCACTCTCCCCTAAAGAGGCTCGAAACCAAGTCATCAGTCTCATGCTCTTACCACTTGAGCTAAGTCTTGACTTTAATTCATAAAAGCTTTACGAAAAAGAATTTGAAAGCAGCACGCTACCTGCTGATTTCGCGGCTGTAGCTTCTTGATAGACATCAGTGACAAATAGAATCTCTGAAGGATTATCTATTCCAAGAGATTCTCTGATTTCAACGTAACTTTTTGATTCTTTCTTATTCCTGCGAGCAACAGAGAGAAATTTTACCGTACTACTGTAATGTAGGACAGATTTTCGGACAAAGATAAAGAGAAACAAATTCGAACTTCGAGTATTTTCATGGAAGCGTAAAGTTTACCCCACTGTAGTATCAAAAAACCCGCACAAGTATTTGCGCAGGTCCCCATAATTTGTATTACCAAACAAAAGCCTTTGTGCCAATCTGCTGCCGCTGGAATATATATACACCTGATGGGGGGACAAAAGACAGAAACAAATTGTTAAGGGGTAGTTAGAAAGCTTTTTATAAAAGTTTTAGCAAATTTTGATAAACGTTGACGAAAGATGTGGTTGAAAAGGTGATAAAAGTTGTGGGTTTCATGAAATGTGTATAGATCGAAGTTTGACCAACTAGCAAAATTTATCAAACAAGCACTAAATGCACAAAAATTATAAGTTCTTTCGCCATATACTTTTCCAGCAATCCGGTGCACAATAATTAAATGGCGAGAAAAACACATCTGTAATGCTTCCTGAATAAAAAATAAAAGCTAGACCTAATGATCTATTCATGAACACGTATGGTGCAGCTTCTTCAAATAATCAGTTATTAGATTTTTCTGATTTAGGCCATAATCGGTGGGCAGGTCTGGGGGCACTTTTTCAATTATAGATTTTTGAAGATGCAATCGTCCTATTCTGCTAAGAAAAATGCAAAGCAGAGAATATGCTATTTCAAAAAGACTCCAACACTTGAGCCAATCAATGCGATCTAATTACATCTAGTCAAACTCTAATAATATTATACTGCAAAAATGAAGGTTTAGCAAAAGAATTTTTTTTATTTTTTGCTGAGGATAGGCTAGTATTAAGAGCAT